GAGAGCCTAGCAAGCTACCGAGAGTATCTCACCCACCCAGCAAAGCCTGGCAAGCTATCCGTGACATATTCAATATGCTAAACACAGTTACAAGTCTCAAAATGGACGTTACTGGCAAATCGATGAACAACGGAAGGGCAGTATTTGTTTTTGTTTCCATACCAGTCCCTTGAGCAATGTCTGCTTCCCTCTGCCAGTGCCCCCTCAGCCCCCTGCCTCCCACCCACCAATCTGCTTCCACCAGAGGCACTTTTCTTCCTTAAAAAAAAAAAAAGTAAACACAACTACGTTTTTGCACTATGGCTCACAGTCCTCTTACCCACAGGTTTCCTTCACTTCACCCCCTTTCAGCACCTCCTCCGTCCCCGGCTGAACCCTTCCCTCCAGCATCCAGGTGCCCCCTCCCTGTCCCACCCCCCAGCCACCTGGAGGGGCCTGTTTCCTACTGAAGACCAAGCACATTGTTCTTGGTTTCCTTTGCCTTTGGGTATTTGTTATTCCACAATTCTGTTTCTTTATAACCTTCGGAAGCAAGAAAGCTTGATGGTTTTTGTTTGGCCACACCTGGCGATGTTCAGGGCTCACTCCTGGCTCTGCGCTTAGGAATTACTCCTGGCAGTGCTCAGGGGACCATATGGGATGCTGGGAATCGAACCTGGGTCAGCAAAGCAAACACCCTCCCTGCTGTACTGTCTCTCCAGCCCCAGAAGCAAGATCGTTTAGGGGAATGAGGAAGTATGTGTTCAAGAGAGAACGCGGGCTTCTCCGGAGTGGAACAACACTCGGGCGGGCTGGGAACTAACTCAGAGGACCCGGTTCACTCCCCAGCACCACCTGGAGCACTGAGAAGGGAGCAGCCCCTGAGGTCTCGGGTGTGGCCCCCAAGCTCCAAACAACAGAAAGCCGGGGATAGAAGGGAACGGAAGCACCCAGCATCACCACAAGACCACCTACAAAATACTTCATCTCACCACTACCTAATGGTGAAAAGCTGAAATATTTCCCCAGAAAGGGAACAATACTGGGTGTGCCCTGACATGTTTACCCAGCACTGTGCACGGCCACACCATCTAGAATTAGAAAAAGAAACCTTCAGGGGCTGGGGCAATAGCACAGCGGGTAGGGCGTTTGCCTTGCACGAGGCTGACCTGGGTTCGATTCCCAGCATCCCATATGGTCCCCTGAGCACCGCCAGGAATGATTCCTGAGTGCAGAGCCAGGAGTAAACCCTGAGCATCACTGGGTGTGACCCCCCCAAAAAAAATAATAATTAAAAAATTTAAAAAAAAACCCTTCAGATCAGAGAGGAAAAGTAAAGCTGCCTGTTCAGACACAGCCACGCATGAGAAACCCTCGTGGGGATCTCCCCAGCCCCCTAAAAGTTGCCTAGCAGGGGCCAAGAGCTAGTACAGCGGGTAGTACAGTATGCCTGGCACACAGCCAACCTGGGTTCGTTCCCTGTCACCCCATATGGTCCCCCTAAGCACTTCCAAGAGTAACTCCTGAGCACTGCTGGGTGCCCCAAAACCAAAAAAGAAGTAAAGGCTTACTAGAGGGAATAAAGCATGCTTGTTGGTCAGAATATTATGTAAAAATCTCTTTATTTCAAATCTGTATTGTTGAGGCGGTGATATTAGTGTGAACGTTTGTGGGAAGTTACTGCACCTTCCCTGCTGTCCTGTCATCATATAACCCAAGTCCCCTCCCCCCACTGCTCCAGGACCTCAGCCCTGAAGTCACGTCTGATGGCTAGTTCCCCTCCAGCACCATCTCCCAGCTTTCCTTCTCTGGACATGACAGGGGTGAGACCATCCCGTGCTTTTTTTTTTTTTCTTTTTGGGTCCTTTGCCTCTCTCAGAGAGACGGCAAGCTACTGATAGTATCTCACCCGCCCGACAAAGCCTGGCAAGCTCCCCGTGACGTATTCAATATGCCAAAAACAGTAACAACTCTCAAAATTTGTTGTGAGACATTACTAGTGCCCGCTCGAACAAATCGATGAACAACGGGAGGACAGTGCTACAGTGTTTTTGGGGTCACACCTGGCAATGCACAGTGGTTAACTCCTGGCTCATGCACTCGGGAATTACTCCTGGCGGTGCTCAGGGGACCATAATGGGATGCTGGGAATCGAACCCGGGTCGGCCGCGTGCAAGGTAAACACCCTACCTGCTGTGCTATCACTCCAGCCCCCATGTTTGTTCTTAGACTTACTTGTCTTATGGTCATTCTTCAGAGTTCCACCCACGTTGTTGCAGGAGGCAAGGGCTTTGTGGTAGCCATGGCTCTGGGCTCAGGGATTGCTCCCAACAGGGGTCCAAGGGCCACAGGGGGTGCCAGGGACAGAAGTCAGGTCAGCCTTGTGCAAGGCATGCGCCTTCCCTGCTGGGCCAGCCCCATGAACATTTCCCTTTTGGACGCCCACATCTACTTTGTGTGTGCTCAGTGCCTTTCTCCTGCTTGTTTTGGGGCCACACTCATCTGTGCCCGGGGATCACTGCTGCGGGTGCTCTGGGGGACCATGTGGTGTTGGGGATAGAACCCAGGTCTCCCGCGTGCAAAGCGTTCACTCCAGACCCCTGAGCTCTCTCCCCAGCCTCCACTTGGGGGTGGGATTTGTTTAGGGGCCACACCAGTAGTGCTCAGGGCTTACTCCTGGCTGTGCTCAGTCCTGGCGGCACTTGGGAGAACCACGTAGGATGTGGAGCTTGAAGCTGGGCTGGCTGTGCGCAGGGCAAGTGCCTTACCAGCGACTTTTTCTCCAGCCCCTCATAGTTTTAATCGCTTTTCCTTAAACTGGACCCAGGGAATCCCTTTGCTCTTCCCTGTCTCCTTGCTGCTCTGTGGCAGCCGCTCAGCCCAGCCCGGCCCTGTGTTCGCCCGACGGCCTGTCCTCTCGAGGGCCGCTCCTTCCCGCCCTGGTCTGCGTGTTTTTATCACGACGTTGAATCTTGTCGAAAGCTTCCTCTGGGTCTGCTGCGGCTCTGACTGGCGTGTGGGCAGCTGCAGCGTCTGTGGGTGAGTCGGGAGTGACCGAACCGTTCCCGAAGGTCATTGGCCAGAGGATGTTAGCAGGCTCCGCACAGGCCCAGCACACGCCGGGATTCTCTCTCCAGGGGCATCGTTTCCTCAGACCAAGCGCCCGCTCTGGCCACCGGGATGCCGGCTGTCGGAAGAGGTGCCCCGGGCCACGTGCGCAGGGTGAGTTGAGGGGCTCAGCAGTGCCCACGGGATGCAGATGCCAGGAACTGCCCCAGAACGGGCAGAAGGCACACATCACAGCTGGGGCCCGGGACTACTTCTCATTTCTATAGACCTTCTAGAAAACCACCACTCACCTTTGGACCTTGGCTGCTGGCCTTCCACTGTGGCCAGGCAGTTCCTGGGAGGGAAACTACAGGGAGCCCGAGTTGCACCCCCTGGGTGGGCCCTGTCCTGGGGCCAGGCTCAGAGGGGAGCAGGGACCCTAGGGACCCTCTCCAAGCACTCAGCTACGGCAGGGGCAGGGTCACCGCGAGCTCCAGGAGGGGCTGCTGCCCCGAGACCCCAGCACCCCGGCACCCAGGGGCTTCTCCTGTGTTTGGGTCCATGGCCCCCACGTGGCCAAGCGTGTTCCTGGGGCAGCAGGAGCGTGGGGGGCTGTGGGGGCACATGGTGCGGCGGGGACAGTGCCCTTCTGAGGTTCTGCTGCGATGTGGAAACCAACAGGCCTGTGGGTCCCTCTTGAAGAGCTCCCGGGACTGCTCCACTGTGTAGTGGCCATATGTGGGCCCAAATGGGTCACAGCCCTGCTGCCGTGGCCGTGGGGTGGCCAGAAGCCAGAGCAGAGCTGTTGGCTCCGCACGGGGCCTGCCTGGACGCCCCGGGGACCGAACCCCTGGCCTGAAGGTGGGGGGTAGGTGCTCAGGAAGGAACGGGGGGAGCCGGGGGGACGGGCCCTGGGCAGCGCAGCCCGGCCACAGCACAGCGTGGGGCCTTCTGCGTTTTATCTCTGGTACCCTCAGACCCGGGCTGGAGCAACAGCACAGCGGGTAGGGCATCTGCCTTGCATGCGGCCAACCTGGCCGACCCGAGTTAGATTCTTCCACCCCTTTCGGAGATCCCAGTAAGCTACCGTGAGTATCTCGCCCGCACGGCAAAGCCTGGCAAGCTACCCGTGACGTATTCGATATGCCAAACACAGTAACAAGTCTCATGATGTTACTGGGCCCGCTCGAGCAAATCGACGAACAACAGGAGGACAGTGATCCTCAGACCCCGGGACCCACATGGTCGGGACTGGAGTGGAGAGTCAGAGCCTGCAGTCTCCCCTCTACTCAGCTGACCCTGAGCCTATGGCAACGGACCCCAGGGCCACTCAATACCCCGACTCTGGCTGGCAGGAGAGAACCAAGGCCAGCCTTGGAGGGGACAGGCGGGCGGGGCTCAGCCATGGTTCCATCCACAGACACCCTGAAGGCCAGAGCAGGGAGGAGAAGGCACGGCCTGGCCGGATTCAATCCCCCGCACCCTGCGTTCCCCACCACCTCCCTAGCCCGCCAAAAGTGACCTCTGCACACAGATCCAGGAACAACTTCTGAACACCTTCGGGGCAGGGGGGTATGGTGAGGGGGAAGCCAAAACCAAAAGGAAAAAAGAAAACTTCGTTTAACTGATTGACTCATTGGGCGATATGGAAAAGTCACAGAGAAATTACACATGTACGGCCCAGCTTCTCTGAACCGTTCCTTCGCTCCTGTTCTCAGACATGGTTTGGACCTCAGAACTGTCCAGAGAAGAAAGCTCGCAGACTCGCACCAGGCGGCACGCAGGAGGGCTACAGACTGCTGTATCTGGGGACCCTATGTGACAGGGCTGCAGTGGGGGGCCCAGAAAGCGAGGCTGCCCTCTCAGGTGTCCCCACACGGTTCAGGGCATGTCCTGGGTCGCCCCACTAGCAGACTGGCACCTGGGTCCCGAGATGTCCCGTCGGGGCCACGGCAAGCCTGCGCCTCGGGCCTTCGGTGCTGGGGTACGTCGCTGGCACCTCTTCCTGTCCCGGCCCCGGCTATACCCGGCAGAGCTTCAGCGGGAAGTTCTCAGTGATGAGGTGGTCGGCCTGGAGCAGCACCACCACGTTCACCTCAAACTCTGCAGAGGAGAAGACGGGGCAGGGCCTTAGGGCGCCAATCTCTGCCGGAAGCCAAGGTCCTGCGCGATGGAGCAGCCCGGCCAGGCCCTTTGCCCGGCTGTCACGCCTCGGCTCTGGGGCTGTCCCTGCAAGTCATCGCAGGGGGAGAGCCGAGCATGCTGACCCAGGGCAGGTAGGCCCAGGAGGGGACATTCGCTGGGCTTACAGAACAGGCTTACCCGTGGGAGTCCACCCCGAACCCGCCAACAGGGACCCTCACGGCCCCAGGGAAGGCGGAGAGGCGCGACCCAGAACTCAACGGCACCCCCAGCCCGAGGCCCCTGCCCACCTGCCGGGCCATTGCACTCACCCACTTTGAAGTTGGTGGTCTCCAGTGTGGGGCAGGTGAAGAGCCGCGGGAAGACCATGTACAGGGGGATGGGGAGGCCGCGGCACACGTCGCCCGCCGCGATCTGGATGTTCTGGATCTCGGTGGCGTCGCGGGCGTAGCCCTCCGCGCACCCTGGCAGCGAGGAGGGCACCGCGGGCTCAGCACGGCCGTCCCCCCGCGAACCCCGCACCCCCCACCCCTGCACACCCCGTGGGCCGGGCGCTGGCTCACCGCACGTCTCCACGCGCACCAGCTGCAGCTCGATGCTGCGCACGGCCGCCTCCGAGCTCTCCACCACCAGCTCACCCGTCAGCGGCTGCGTGATGGCGCAGTTGGTGGAGCTGAGGTGGCCCCTGATGAGGAACTTGGGGAGCAGGGCGCGCTGTGGGGGACAGACACGACGCATGGGCTGGGGCGGGGGGGGCACTGGGAGCCAGGGAAAAGCCAAGCTGGCCTTCCTGCAGGCGGGAAGCCACAGCTCTCCTGGGGACGGGCAGGGATAGGTGGGGAGGGGGGGAGGGGGGGGAGGGGGCCCTGAAGCCGGGGGTTCCCTCGGGGTGGTGCAGGGGAGGCTCTGCCCGCAGACACAGGAGCAGGGCAGGAGCACCTGCCGACAGCCCCCTCCCCAGCAGAGCAGAGAACGGCCCGAGTTCGCTACCTCTTTGACGTTCTGTAAGGTTTCAGGGGTGATGGTGAAGTCCACGGGGCTCGGGGTCAACTTTCCCTTCTGCGGCTGAGACAGGAGTAAATACTAGTCAGTGTCCACGGCAGGCCTGTTCCCCCGCCCTGGCCACCTGCAGCCTGGGGCCCGTGTCACCGGAGGGCGTGTCAGACGCAGGCACCCAGCCGGGCCAGTCGCGTCCCACAGGTTGGGGTGTGCGCCGAGGGGTCGGCCCTGGCCCCGCGGGTGGCCACAGTGGGGCCATGGGGAGACGGCAGGGACACAGGTGAGGAGCCTTCCCACCCTGCCCGGGCCGCCACGGCAACTTACGGCCGAGTGGACGATGAACTCACAGGTCTTGGTCAAGTCCTTGGCCAGCAGAGAGCGCCGCATGTCACAACGCAGGGTGTACTGCAGGGCGTGGAGACTCATTAATCAGTGCTCACGTGTCCCTGGGGGCTGCCGAAGGTGGGCCTCGGGCTGCAGCTAGCCCAAGCTGGGATCTCCGCACAGGCCCATCCCGCCTGCCCCAGAGCCCAGGGGACCTGGGCAGCCCCCAGAGAAGGTGTGAGACCCCGTCCCTCCAGCCTCTGATGCCAGATGCCAGAATGACTGTGGTCTCGGCCTCCCACGCGCCACTTCGGCCAGCTGGGCCAGGGGCTCCAGGGGAGGCCCAAGGACGGGGCTGCCCAGAGGGGCTGGGCTCTGACCAGAGATGTGGGCCGGCTGGTCAGGGCCCGCGGGTGATGCTCAGGGACTGGGTGGCGCAGGGACTAGACCCGGTTCAGCAGCAGTGGGGCACGTGCCTTCCCTGTGCGCCCCTCTGGCCAGCCTGAAGCCACCAGACACATCGCACGGCAGTTTGTGCACCTCGGGGGGACATGTGAGCACTGGAGAGGGAGCCCAGCTCCAAGAGGCAGCCTGGCAGAGTGCTCTGGAGTCCCTGGGACTGTGGTGCTGTGCCAGACTACCTCTCACAGTCTCGGGGCGGCTGCCGTGACGGTGCCCCTCAGGGTCTGAGGGCAGCCCACGAAAAGCAACGGGTGCCAGGCTGCAACCCCGTCACTGAGCAGGGTGACCCTGGCTCTCATGCACACGTGCCCGCACAGGTAACCGCTGGCGGACGCACCTGGATGCTGACGAACACGCCGTGGTAGGTCTCGTACAGGACTTTGCCGCCCTTCACGTGCAGGGGGAACTCGAAGGGGATTTCCGTCTTGCCGCTGGGGAACTTGCCCGGCTTCACCATCTCCATGGTGCTGTTAATGATCTGGATGGGCTGCGATGGGGTGGGGGAGGGAGGCGGCTCATCCAGGGAGCCCCCAAAGTGAACACCAGCTTCCGGGGCAGGGGCGTGAGGGGGCCTGTCCCTGCTGATCCCACTCGTCGGTGACCCCCAAGAGGCTGGGGTGAGCAAGAGGAAGTGTGTGTGTGGGGGGGGCGGTGCAGAAGGGCTGGGTGTGCGCACCCACACAGAGTGGACACAGGGTGGCGTTGGGGGGGGGGGGCGGACACTCACCTTCACGGAGTTGTAGAAGGCCTCGAAGACGCCCACGCTCTTGGCACTGAGCTGGAGGTTCACGGTGCCCTCGACAGTCAGGGACAGGCCCTGGTGCTGCACTGCGTCCTTCCCGGAGACGACCACCACCCCTGAGAGCACCTCCTGTGGGAACGGGCGGGTGAGGCCCCTGGGCCCTCCAGCTGAGGGGGCTTCTAGCACCTGCTCTCTGGCAGCCCACGAAAAGCAACGGGTGCCAGGCAGGCCCCCACTGCCCGTGTCAGCCATGGGGAGGAGATAGCTCGCTCACAGCTGGGCGTGCCGAGGGGCCAGCAGGGCACCCCTAGGGGGAATGTCAGAGCGGCCGGTCCACACTGCTGCAGCCCAGCCAGAGGGGCTGGGCCCTGATCAGAGACGTGGGCCAGCTGATGGCTCACCTGGACCCTGAGCAACACCCAGGCTTGGAGGGATGGGATGCAGGGGACCCTCTTGATACTGCTCCTACCTGGGGGCCCAAGGGGGCTGTGAGCGGAGGCTGCGGGAGGGTATGAACCGTGTGTAAAAGGGAGGGCATGGGCCGTGTGTAAAAGGGGAGGAAAATGTGGCCACGCGTTGACCCACAGGTGCACAGATGGAGCTGGGCGGCCGCAGGAGGCCAGCACCTGCGTTGAACCATGGAGTCCCCCTCTGGAACCACACACCTGGGTTAGCTCCTAGCCCTGAGCGCGCGAGGGTCAGCGGCCTGGACACACTCGGGGAAGCAGTGTCTTCCCCCACTCACGGCGTGGTCTGTCCTCGAGAGGCCTCCCTCCCCATGGCCACGGGGCAGAGCCCAGGCCCCCAACAGTGCCCGTTCTGCCTACACAGGGAACCAGTGAGCACAGCCATCCCCGGCCTTGAAGGCCGGTCACACCTGACTGTTCGCTCGCCACTGCCACTGCCGCAGGAAACGCTCCCGGCTTCCTCGACAGCACTTGGTGATCTACCCCAGTGCTGGAGTCTAGCGAGACGCAGGCTTACTGGGGACCCCCACTCGCCCCGCTCCAACAGCCGTGTCCGCGCAGGGGTCGGGCCTGGCCAGCAGCTGCTGACCATCTCTCTGGACACTCTCCCAGCAGATGCCCCCAGCAGCTAAGTGACCTCTGACGCAGGCATTTCTCGTTTCTCTCCTCGTGGCCCCTGAAGTCCCACAGCAGCGAGCGGAGCATCGGCCACCCAGCACAACACCCAGGGGTGGAGGTGGGCCAGATCCATGCCTCCCACACTGCCTTCCAGTCTGGGAACGCTGCTGACCACGGTGCAATGCGGGGGAGGCAGATGATACGCGGTCATGGCCCTGACAGTCCTTGATCTCAAACACTTCAGGCGAGGAGCCTTGGGGGCAGGCGACTATCTCAGCTGAAAACCCCACAACAGCATCCAGTCCACAGGACGTGGAGCTGAGCTTCTGGAAACAAAGGCTTCTGGGAAGGAAGCCAAGCCTTCCAGAAGGGACCAAGGGGCGCCACTGATGCTTTTCGCCAAGATCCAAAATCAGGATGTCTTGGGGGCTGGAGAGATAGCACAGTGGGTAGGGCGTTTGCCTTGCACGCGGCTGACCCAGGTTCGATTCCCAGCATCGAGGAGATGCCCTACCCGCTGTGCTATCCAGCCTCTCATTGTGCTTTTTAAACTAAAACAGCTGGTATTGGACTCAAAGTGACACCCTGGGTGGGAACACAGGCTCTGCAGGCCAGAATCCTGAGACTGACCCCATGGGCCCCAAACACAGCCAGGTGTGGCCCTAGCGCTAAGCGTGTGACCCCCCATCCCCACCCCATGAAACTGTCACTGCCCCCAGAGAACTGGAGAAGGGTTTCTGCCAATGGCAGCCTCAGGGGACGCGCCGTCTCGCTGGCCCTGAGTGCCATGCTGTGACACGGCTTGCGGGGGGGGGGGGGAGGTCCCCAGCTCACAAACACCTCCAGCGTGCCCCACGGAACCTAAGCCAAGAACACTGGGCATAGGTGCTGGGCCCTTGGTGTGGAAGGGAGCTGCCTGATCCAGTGAGGATCGGGGCGGAGAGTCCTCGGCCAGACTGTCATGCTCCTGAAGGGCCAAGCTGAAACCGGAAAAGGCCAGCCAGAGCCGGTGACGAAGGCAGCTGCCAAGCAAGGCGGCGAGAGCACAGCAAGGACACGGGCAGGGAAAAGCAACGGGGTCCCTGGCCCCAAGAAGGGGGGCGAGGGGGGCTGTCTCTGCAGAAAGCGGCCAGCCCAACCAGCTCAGAGGGGCCTCATGGGGTCGCCCCCCCCAATAAGCCTGCCTGTGGACAGTCACCTCAACAACTGGGTGGAAGAGACAGTGAGACCAGAAACAGCTGAATCCTAGACTGGTCAAGGTCGGAGGGGGCAGACTCTAGACCGAGGGCCGTGGTCTGGCAGAGAGGACTCAGGGGCTGGGGGCTCAGGGGCAGGGATGCGGTGGGCTCAAGGTCAGGGCCTGGAAGCTCAAGGGCAGGGATTAGCTGGGGTCTCAAGGGCAGGGACTGGGGCGGGCTCAAGGTCAGGAGCAGAGGACACTGGGCTGAGGGGGCCAGAGCGGGGGCAGGCTGCGGAGGCTGGGAGGCCCCGGACAGGCTGTGGGCAGGGACACGCCCGCCAAGCTGAATGGGGAACTGCCAGAGTCCATGGAGCGTCTCTCGCTGACGCAGGGGCCCTAAAAATACCTCAGCCTGCTGGGGACACAGGGTGAGGGCCCGGGCCGTGAGGCGAGCCGACTGTCCCCTGAGCACCCAGGCCCTGGGCAAAGGGCCCTGAGGGCTCAGCACCTCTGTTTGGGAGAGGGGGGTCACAGTACAAAAGTGCTGTGTCTGTGTCTGTGTGTGTGTGTCTGTGTGTGTGTGTGTGCACGCGAGCCCTCCTGCTGTGCACGCCCCTTCTCTTCTGTTCCCATGCCTGGGGCTGTCCAGGCCTCCCCCACCCCCCTCACAGCGCCCTATCCTCAGGCTTGAGATTTCCCACATTAGAGAGGCGTCCTGAGGACTGAGGAGGGGCGGGGCCGCGCAGCGTTGCTGTCTGGAACAGGGCCTGGTGCCGGGTAAAGAATTCGGTGGGTCCCCAGAAAGATCTTCTTGGGGCTGGAGAGCATAATGGGTTGGATGCTTGCTTTGCACATGTCTGTTCCAGGTTCAACCCCTGGCACCACCCCCCATGGTCCTCCCGAGCACCGCCAGGAATGATCCCTGTGCACAGAGCCAGGAATAAGTTCTGAGCACCACCAGGTACTACCCCAAAACATCCATTCTATCACCCATCAATTCCACTCCTCCGTACACATCCAAGAGAAATGAAACACAGGTGCTAGAACATTCATATTAACATTATTATCACAGCCCCAAACCAAAAGAAAAAAAAATGCTCAACAGATGAATGGCAAATAAATCATTGTCTGTCTCTATAATGGAATACTATTCAGCCATGAAAAGAAGGGTGTAACTGACAGTGGCTATAGCATACATGAAACCTGAAATCAACTATACTAAGTGAAAGGGGCCAGTCATCAAGGGTCACGTTCCATGACCCCATTGGTGTGATGCCTCCGAAACAGGCAGATTCTGACACACCACACAATAAGCAGCTGTGAGAGGGGCAGAGAGCAATCACTAATTAATAAAGTTTTTTTTCTGGAGAGTGATTCTATTAAAATCAGAAAATTCTATAAAAGGTGAATTTTTTTTTGATACCTGGATTTTCCTTATTGAATTAGATTTCAACAAGGCTGTTATCTTACTTTTGTTGTTTTTTTTGGGGGGGGTGTTGGGCACATCCAGCTGTGCCCAGGGCTTATTCCTGGCTCTGTGCTCAGGGATCACAATTGATGATGCTTGAGGGACTATATAGGATGCTGATGATCGAATCCAGAACAGCCGTGCGCAGGGCAAGTGCCCTACCTGCCGTACTATTGATCCCAGCCGTGCAAGGCTGTTATTTGAAAATAATAAGGAACATAATATAGACCAACATAGGGTGCTCGGCGGCCCGCGGCCCCGGACCCATGCACGTGGACCGTGGCGCCACGGAGGTATTCAAGGCGATCTCCTGGTTTCGATTGAGTACAGCTGGAAAGCTTTGGCTTGAAGGTCTAGCCAGGGATGAGTCCCTTCAGAGATCAGTGCTAACCCGGTGGCTGAGGCTTGGGGCCTGCTATCTGAGAAATGCCTTTGAGGGTGCTGCGAATCCTAGGGTACAGTTCATGAGAGCACCGGCTGCCTCTGGCAAGTGAAGAGGACTCCCAGACTACAAAGGATTTTGCTGACACAAAGGAAATCTTCATGGTGATCTTGTACTTGGAAATCGTGGATTATTGGACACAACACCTACCACTCAGCTCTTTTCATTTAAAAACAAGTACTTATATCCAAAAGATATAAAACCCAATAAAATGCTTTTATGAAAAGAAAAAAAAATATAGACCAACATAAGATTCTGATTAGTTACCAACACTTTTGGGATGGTGCGGGAAGACACACCTAGTGGTGCGCAGGGGTAACGCTTGGCCGGCTCTGTACTCAGGAATCACTCTTGTAAGTGCTCGGGGAACCATATGTGGCCCCAGGGACTGAACTCAGGTCTGCCGTGATTTTTAATATTCTGCCATATCTGTTCTTTCACATAGCACACACACATACCCTACAGGTGGCCTATATAAAACCTGCCATGAGACTTTAGTCCTAAAATCTTTAGCAGGTGGCGTATTCAAGGACCAAGAAGCCAATAACCAAGAAGCATATCTCGCACGCGGGGAAATTCAAGACAAGACACCAGTCATTTAATAGATAAGCCATATTTAGATTCGTTGAAAATTGTGCGTTCGACTTGATGATCAAATCCCTAATTTCAGGGTCTTTTTCTATTTAAAAAAAATAAGTAATTCTTCCCCCTTCTATTCACGACATCATTTTCAGAGATTTCCAAAATTGCATAGAACGTTCTTCCACAGGGCGATGCCCGCCTTGTTTCCGTGTGAGGTGTGACCCGGGTCAGACGCAGAGAGTCTGGGCAGAAATGCGACACGGGGTGGTGGTGGGGGGGGTGGGCTGGAGCGATGGCACAGCGGGGAGGGCTTTTGCCCTGCACGCGGCCGACCCGGGTTCGATTCCCAGCATCCCATAGGGTCAGCCGAGCACTGCCAGGAGTAATTCCTGAGTGCAGGAGCCAGGAGGAACCCCCTGAGCATCGCCGGGGGTGACCCAAAAAAAAAGCAAAGAAAAAAGGAAAATAGGACACGGGTGGCGTGGGTCTCTGTGTGCCTTAGGGCAGGGCCCTCGGGGTTCTGCAGGGACCCGGTGCCGGGGGGCGGGGGGAGCGCGCGCTGCTGCAGCGGGGAATGCCAGTTTCTTGGCGACAGCGGTGGTGACAGCTCTTCGTGCTGGCACTGCGCAGGGGGGCCGGGGGGGGTGGGCGACGGCTGGGCCTGTGGCCGCGCCTCGGTGGCCGCCCCGCGTCGGAGGAAGCCCCGCACCGGGCCCCTTCCTGCACCAACAGGAACCCTCCGCCCGCGGCCGCTGCCGCCTGGTGCGCGGGTGCTGGACAGCCGGGGCCCGCGGCGCGGCGCGTCCTCCCGCCCTCACTACTTACCCCGGCATGATAGACCTTGTTGGCTCGCTTAATCTTAATGTCCAGGGACGTCCCCATCGCCGACGCCGGGTGCCCGCGCCGCCACTTCCGGCCGCGCCCGCGCCGAGGCCCCGCCTCCTCCCTCCAGGCCCCGCCTCCTCCCTCCTCCCCCGCCCCTTCCCCGAGGCGGCGGCCGTTGTGTCACGTGGCCCGCGGCGGCCCCGCCTTCCTGCTTCCGGCGCAGGGGCGGGCCTTAGCGCGGAGGCCCGGGGGGCGTGTCTCCCTTCACCTCCCCCTCCCTCTTCGCCCCCGCCCTCCGGAACAGGCGAGAGGGGCGCGCACGCGGAAGCTCCGCCCCTTCCGCGAAGGCCGCGGCCGGGCCGGAAGCACCTTCCCCGGGTGCGTCTCGGGCAGGAGGGGCGGGGGAGGGGAGCGCTTTACCCGGCGTGCCCCGCAGTGGCGGGCGCTGCCCGCGCTCCCGTCGGGCCGTGCGGCGGCGCGGGGGGCGCTGCTCCCGGGCGCGGGCTCCGGGCGTTGGTCGGGGGGGGGGGGGGGGGGGGAGGGGAGGAGGGCCCCCCCCCCTGCGCGCCGCCCCTGCCCTCCCTGCCGCGCCCACCAGTCCACGCCCCGCCTTTACCCCCGGGCCGGCGGCCCCGCGTGCTGGGCCCCCCGCGGCCTGGGCGGTGCTGCGGGCCTGTCCAGGTCTCTGGGCCGTGGGGGGCTGCGGGGGCTGCGGGGCACCGGCTGTTGCATATTCATGGCCCAGCCCGGACACGCCGAATCTCCTTTTCCCGGAACAGACGCGGGGGGTGGGGGGGTGGGGGAAGGGCTGCAGGGGTGCTGAGCCGCGTTGGGCCACCCCCTGCTGCAGGGCTGCAAACGGGGGCCCTCTCCGAGCCCGCCCCCCGCCGTGCGGACCGTTGGCCTTCCCCGAGCCGCGCCGGGCCGGCCGCCCCGGGTTGCGTGTGCAAGCCATTTGCTGCATTCCCATCACGCATGACAGCTTCGCGAGGAGTTAGGGTGCCTCCGAGGACGTCAGCGCCGCGGCTACAGCTGCAGCGGCTTCTTCGCCAGGCGGCGGGGGGCTGGGACGGGGGGGTGTTTCCCGAGATTTACGCCTCCCTAGCCGGGTCTTCTGGGCCCTCAAGGGCTTTTCCTCCGGGCTCGTTTGGAAATTTCAAAGTCAGCGGTTTAAATAAAAGCAGGTCATTCGGGGCCCGAATAATCACGGCGGTCTGTTTGCAATTCAAGAAGTGGACCCCTTTTCCCCCCCCTCCCAAACCCCCCACCCCCGCCCCCCGGGCTCGCTCCGCGCGAGGCTGGTCAGCTGTCAATCTCAGCAGACCTGCAGGGAAACGGGAATAGAAGAAGCCGGTCCGGGGGGCCACCTTCTAGACTCGCTGGCTTCAGCAAACCTGCACCGCGTCCTAGCAGTGCGCAGGGAGGGGAGGGGGGGAGCAGATGTGGGGGGGGGGGGGGGAGGGAGCAGTGCACGCGCTTGTTGCTGGTACCCAAACACCAGCCCATGATTGGCCCATTTCCCTCCAATCGCTGCTCTCTGGGATCTTGTCCATCCCTCAACCAGCCCCTGGGGGGATACCACAACTTCCTGCTCTATTTCCTAGGCTGTTCCTGTCTCCAGGCTGGAGGGGAACTCCCAGGGTTTTGGGCTGGGGAGGGGGAAGCAGCAATTCTAGCTCTCTGGCCCTTCCTCAGCTGACCCCTTCCAGGCCTGGCCACTTCCAGGAAAGGCAAGAAGCCCTTCCCTGTCCGCCACCGGTTTCTCTTAGTTGATTGCTGGTTTTCTGGCCCTGGTCTGAAATTCCTTTTGAAATAAGGGACCTCCAAGGATTTTCTGGGGAGGCGTTGTCAGCTTTAGGCAGGATGGTGGGAAGTGGGGGATGGTGTCAGAATCCAGTGAGACAGCTTGAAACCACGACTCTTCTCAGGGGTACTCCTGGCTCTACTCAGCAATGACTCATCACTCCTGGCGGTGCTGCGGGGACCCTATAGGATGCTGGGAATCGAACCAGAGCTGGATGGGTGCAAGGCAGATGCCCTACCCACTGCACTTTCAGGCCACCCCATGACTCATCTGAAGAATCCCCTGAGCCCACATCTCTGTCCCCCAAAAGTGCTGGCCTGGGCAATGCTCCATGGGGCCCTCCCTTCGCTCTGCCATCCTTCTCATTCCTCTTGCTCCCTCCTGAATTGCAGACCAGGAGAAATCGCAAGAATGTTAACTGGAGGCTGCAGAGCTTCAGATGCTTACCTGGCCCACGGCCCACCTGAGCTGGATCCCAGGCACAGCATCTGACCTGCGAGCACCTCCAGGTGTGATCCCGGCCTGAGTTCCACCAAAATAAAGGATGCTGATTTGACTGAGAAGCAAGTAGGGAAAGGAATTCAATTCCCTCCTCCTTCCCCAAAGCCTCAGTGATACCTGGAAAATGTTCAAAGTTTTGATTTTCCTTCACTTCTCACCAGAACTATTGGTGACCCTTGAAGAAGGTGAGGCTTAGGGGTGCCCACAACCCCCCAGTGGCTGAAAATTCACACAAAAACTTTTATTTATTTTTAAAGAAGCCAATTTATTCTATTTATTTTCTTTTTTGGGTCATACCCAGCAATGCTCCGGGGTTACTCCTGGCTTTGCACTCAGGAATTACTCCTGGCGGTGCTTGGGGGGCCATATGGGATGCTGGGGATCGAACCCGGGTTGGCCACGTGCAAGGCAAATGCCCTACCCGCTGTGCTATCTCTCTGGCCCCACACATGAAACTTTAGACTTCCCAAAAATTTAACTTTGTGGGGGATAGCCAGTTCAGGGCCCAGGGTTTACTCCTAACTGCTCAGGGATCATTCCTGGAGGTACTTAAGGGACCATATGTGGTGCCAAGGGTCAACCAAGGCAGGGTCAGCCGTATGTAAGGAGGCAAGCACCTTAACCCCTGACCCAAATGTCTCCATAGCCTACTGTTAGCGGGGGTCCTCACCAATAACAGGGACTGTCAACCCTTCCTTTGTAAGGTCAATGCACCCCCGACATTGTAGTCTTCCTATTACATACTTGTATTTCACTCTTTCGATTGTAGCTTGTATTGCAATATTTTTTCCCAAAAAAGTGCCATGAAGTCTGTTGCATACAAAAACTGTGTTGGTATCACTTAAAGTTCTGCATTCCAGAGCCAGAGAGATGGCAGAGCACGAAGTCATTTGCATTGCGTGTGGCTGCTTCTCGGTGACCAGGCTCAGTCCCCAGCACTGCATATGGTCAGTGATGCCTGAGGCCTGCTCCCAAGCAAAGAGCCAGGAATAGGCCTTGAGCACTGCCAGGTGTGGCCCAACCCCCGACCCCCAAAATAGTTTATTACTAAAACTGGTGCAAGCTTCGGGTGCATAGAATTCTCATGAAGCGATGGTTCTGTGAGGGAGGAGATTATGCAGTGAAATACGGGGCAAGCTTGAAGAAACAATTTATGGAGATCTTATTACGTGGATTGTCGTAAAGGTCTTGCCCTCCTGTCTGAACGGTGAGGAGTGTGAGAAGGCTTGAAACACCCCGGTCTGGGTATATGTCCTAATGCTCAAGGTCAGGATTGGTTTGGGCCACACCTGGTGGTGCTCAGGGCTAATTCCTGATTCTATACTCTGGGATTACTCCTAACAGTACTCATGGGATCAAGTGGGGTGCCGGGGATGGAACCCAGGGAGGCCAAGCACAAGGCCAGTGCTTTAACCTACTGGCGCCGGCACTCGGCTTCTGAAGTTCCCGCAGAAAGCTGCCACAGAGGACATCTTTCTTTCCTCAGCAGCAGCGTGGGCTGAGTCCCATGAGCTAGCACCCTTTGGGGTACCCAAGGACAGAGCTGGAATTCCTGCCTAGACCCTTCTCAGGGGAATGAAGGCTGGTGCAGCCAAGCTGCCCCTCTCAGGCAGAGCTGGAGGGAGGCCATAGGCCTTGTCACTTTGGAGCCCCGTGTCTGTCCCTGTCCCACTTAGAATTCTCCAGGAAGAAGCCACACTGGAGTGTTGGACTGGAAAGAGCATGTGAGACCTTCTGTACTCTGAGTTCCAGCTAAACGGTGACTTTGACACCCCCATCCCCACCCCACCCCCGCTCAGCAAGCCATGGGCAGTGGCTGGAGCATTAAACAGGTTCACTGATAGAGAGGACTCCCTTTCTGGCCATTGGCGTGTTTAGTATCTCCATTTTGAAACAGCTATATATAGACCCACAGTAGGCATTTCTGTTTGAAAGGAATGACCAGTTATGAAAATATAGTGAAAGCAAGGATTCTTGAAAGCATTAAAAATAACGACTTTGGGGGCTGGAGCCATAGGACAGCAAAGATGGCATTTGCCTTGCATGGGGCCAGCCCAGGTTCAATCTCTGGCGTCCCATATGGTCCCCTGAGCACCACCAGTGTAATTTCTGAGTGCAGAGTCAGGAGTCACCCCTGAGCATCACGGGGATCACCCAAAAGATCATCAACAACAACAAAAACATAATAAAACTACTTGGGAGGCTGGAGCGATAGTACAAGTGGGTAGGGCATTTGCCTTGCACGTGGCCGACCCTGGTTCGATTCTCAACATCCCATATGGTCCCTTGAGCACCGCCAGGAGTAATTCCTGAGTGCAGACCCAGGAGTAACCCCTGATCATCACTGGGTGTGACCCCAAAATCAAATAAATAAAACTACTTGGGAGTTTTTAAATGTATTATGTTTGAGCTACATGAATAAAATTATAAGTCCAAGCTAAGAACTGTGTGAAAAAAAAAATGATGAGATGGACATATCTCTGAGTTTTAAGTAATTTTAAATATCTAGTCTTGTCAATTTGATTTTCAAGCTTAATTCCTTGTGTGTGAATCTTTGTGTGTGTGTGTGGGGGGTTTGGGGGGTCACATGACACTGTGCTCAGAGCTTAGCCCTGGCTCTGCACTTGGGGGCCACTCCTGGTGGTGCTCACTGAGTCACAGGATCAGGGTAAGCACCTCACAGCCCTACCCACTGCACTATTGTTCCAGTTCTTCAATACACTTTTTAATGAGGAAATTTAATAAAATATTTAAATTCTTATGAAAAAAATGTTAAAAATGAATAAGGGGCTGGAGCGATAGTACAATGGGTAGGGCATTTGCCTTG